CTAAAACAAGTGAAACTGGTAAATCTGGTGAAAAAAAGTCTTAATTTCTGTGTTACATAATTAATGCTTTTGTTGATCTTAAGTTCTGTGATTGGTAATATACTTGCCTATAAAATTATGCCTGTCCTAGCTAGGGTTACAGTTGCTATGAAGAAACACCAGGACCAAAGTCAATTTAGGAAGAAAAGGGTTCGTTTGGCTTACACTTGTACATCACTGATCATTATCAGAGGATGTCAGGGCAGGAACCTGGAGGCAGGAGCTGAGGCAAAGGCCATGAAGGATGCACGTCACTGGCATGCTCAGCCTGCTTTCATAGCACCCAGCCATAGGACCACCAGCCCATGAGTGACTGGGCCCTTTCACATCAATCACTAATTAAGAAAATGTCCTACAGGCTTGCTTTCAGCTGGATCTCATGGAGGCATTTTCTCAATTGAGGCTTCCTTCTCTAGCTTGTGTGTCAAGTTGACTTAAAACTAGCCAATTGTCAAAATAAGGTCAGTGTTATTAGTTGATTGGTATCATTTAAAAACAAACACAACCCTGAATTAATGAAAAAAAATCAAAAGATCTTTGACTCCCCATTGACTGTGAACTTAAGATGAATCATCACCTCCTCTGACCCGGCTTTTTCTGCTATGAAAATAGGTTCCAAAGAGCAAAAGAGTAAGTGTTGAATAATTATTATTTTTTTATGAAACAAAAAAATATTTAGTAATTCAATAGCTAAGGAAACCCAAATTTCAACATCTTCAATAGCTTGGCTTAGTACTCGATGATAAGTAGTATGATAAGTGGTAAGAGTTTTTAACCCTTACCCTAAAGCGTCCTGGCACCCTTCCTGACTTACCTAGTTACTGAACGATGCTTTGAAATGAGGTGTTGGGGTTTTTCCTACTTCACATGCTGTGTGCTTTCACCTCCTTGCTGCTTTAACTAGTTCCATGTCTTGTAGGACCTGTAGGCTAGTAGATTCACATCCTTTACTTACTGTACGAGGTTGTTACCTCTGTCACAGAAGTATTTCTTAGAACTCCTCTATCATATTTAAATATATAAGGGGCTGCAAACTATAAATAATAAGTAAACTAGAATCTAACAGAAAAATGCTGATGACTGCTGGTGGTTACTATGTCAGCAGCGCCTCACTGTGGTCAAGGGACTCACTACAAGGCTTGGCTGTCTCCGCCTATTCTGATTTTTTTCTGTTTTGATTGGTTTTTAGAGAAAGCAAGTGATTAGTGTTTTCCCGGACCCTTTTCAGGTTTTCATGGGGGACAGACAAGATAGTAGCTCCTAACCTATGGTTTGTGTTCCACAGTTAGGAGTGTCATTCACTACTGTTAGTCAAATTGAGTGAGAAGGGAGAGGGTTCCTCTGAGCCTTTTAGTTTGAGAATTATTTAGCTTTCTAACTCGAACCATTTCTGTTACTAACCAACATTTTTCAAAAATTGGAGTGAGAAAATTAGGAACACAGAACTCTTGATTTGGCTTGTTTCATGGAAAATGAAAGCATGGAGGTGACTTCTGTGCAGAATCCTGAAAAGCAGAACTAAGGAAATAGAGAGAGCGTGCTGTGGAGTGAGGTGTGATGACAGGCTATGGAGAGCAGTAAAGGATGAGACGCTACAGTCCAGGAGGCTGACACAGTTACAGGACTGCAGAGGGCGGAGACGTAGCTCCGTGGCAGAGTGCTTGTGTAGCATGCATGCAGAGGCTCTGGGTCCAACCGAGCACTGCAGAAAACAAGCCGCAGCAGTATGTAGGCAGCAGGTGAAGACCAACTGATCCTTACAGTGTTACAGTGAGGAGGTCGTGAATTGTGACCTGGGCTAAAAATAGTTTTCAGTACCATGATGTAGGTACTTTGTTTTTCTAATTTTAAGACATCTGAGTTTAATGGTAAGTACACCTAAAAATACATCTTGATTATACTTTATTTCAACACTGTTTTCAACCTTTTGTGTATTGGTACGTAAACATGCACATCATGATCCAAATGCAAGTCAGAACAACTCTAGGTGCTGAAACACTGTAGTAGTTCATACAGCTAAGAACGAGAAAGGATCGAGGATGGCTTGCTCAGGTTTAGCAAATGGAGTCCGTAACATCAAGAGACTCATGATGTCACGATGTAGCCTCTCAGAAGCTGTAGGCTGCACCGGTGGTGACCTAGCATGAGAATGTACTGATGCTGCCCACTGGGCTGGTCCTGGGCCTTGAAAGCCACCAGGAATTGGTGGCAAAGCAAATGTGAATGTTGGAGCTGTAATGAATAGCTATATAGGGTTTGTGCTGACATGTGCTTTGGGAGTTGGCCTGCCTATCACTCAGCAGTCCCGTCTTCAGTGCCCCTGCTACTTGGACCTTAGCAAAGAATACATAGTCTGAGGATATATGTGTTTTGCGTGCAGTGAAAGGAACACCTTTTGAAACATGATCCAGGTAGAGCGGGGCTCCCAACCCACTGGGAACAGCTCAACTATGGAGAACAGTTTATATCTTCTCAGGAGTTTTTCACAATTTCTCCAGTAATTCTCTGGGTGTGACATGTTGTTATTGCAGAGTTTTGGACAAAGAAACAGACTCAAGCCAGCTGGGGTGGCACAGCCCTAATCTCAGTATCACATAGGCAGATGAGTTTGAGGGCATCCTGGTCTACACAAAAAGGTTCTAGACCAGCTAGAGCTACCTAGATCCCATCTCAAATGAGAGAAAAAAGAAACAGACTCTAATCTGCTACATTGGTAAAGATCTTCTGGCTGTTTTGGATCAAGGGCCTAGATTAATCGGAAATTTCTGCCCTCTATTGCAGGTCTCTTTCAAATACACACATAGTAAATAACCTGTCTTATACTGATTTTTTAAAAAAAGATTCATGATGTAGATAATGTGCCTTAAAAATAAACACTTTGTTCTTTACAAATTTTACCTTTTATGGCTAATACCAGTAAACATGGTTCTAAAATATCTTTTTAATTTTTTATATAAAATGTTTTTAGCATTCCTAAGTTACTTGTTTTTCAAACAAAGCCATTATTACCATTTTAAATTGCACAGATAGAGTCGTGGACATAAAATCAACAGCACAGACCACATACATGCAAGATAATGTACCAAATGTACTGTTACATGAGGAATTAGAATACAGTGCTCTGTAGGATTAACGGTGTATAAAAGGTAGGCTGTCAATCATCCTGTTACAGAAGGATGCAGAAGACTGCGTGTGGACCCTGCTTTATCAGTGATGGCACTGGAAAACATGTCTCATGAACCTAATGGAAAGTGGAAAAGCTAGGGCACCTGTATGTAGGCGGTGATGTGATTGGCCCTTGTTTTACAGGTGCAATGGTAGTTCCAAGAATGCTGAAGGTTTTTTTTTTTTCTTTTTGCCCATTAATGATCATAGATGCTCAAGGGCCTAAGAAAGAAAGCAACCCCATCTCTAGCATTCTGAGTATAAATTGTCAAGTCCGTAGTTCTCTGGCGACGTCACTTTTGTGAGAGTGCTGGGTAGTGCAGGCTCATTCTTGCCCAGAGGGAAAGTCAGCAGCATGTAGAGATGCATTCAATCCCTAGATTTGACTGCTATTTCTAGTTCCTGTACATTTGACACAGTACTATGAATGACCGTGCGTTTCATTCTGTCTCTTTCATGAGACAGTAAATTACTAGCCTTGAATAATACTGTGATACAGCGCTGATAGTGTAGAAAGGCAGAGGTTTTGTGTACGTTGGGCTGGTTTATACAATAGGTATTTTAACTTGGGACAGTCCAATCCTTTAGTGTCAGTAAGTGGCCAAGGTAATGCTGAGAAAGACGGTAAAAGCTGCACTAGATGTGACCGGCAGCACTGAACCTTCCAGCGGGGAGTGCACGCCCTGTGTCTGCCTGAGCTTTCACAAGCTAGTTCAAGACGAACAGAAAAAAAAAAAATACTAAAGAAACAGTTTCTCTTGGTGACTTGAAAATTCCTGATTTAGGTTGGGATAGCAGAGTGAACCTCTGATTCCAGGTGCTGTGGTTCTGTTGAGGTCAGTTATTTGCTTCAGGCATTTGCATTCTTGCGTATGTCTTGGGTCTTTTGTTAAATTTCGAGAACTTAGAAAAGAGCTGCTTTCTTACAGCAGAGCCAGGGCCTTTTCAGTATTTCTTCACTCCTGCTACCAAAACAATAACCACATAACCCAGCAGTACCACTGGCTGATACTATAAAATGTATTTCATCTTGAGTTTGATCTTACAACCTTGCGTTTTAGTTGAGGGCTAGACGGAATGCAGCCTACTCATAAACATTGAAACATCACTTCAAAGAGAAAACCATCTTTGCAGTTATCAGATGTCCACTGTTGGAAATGTAGACTAAATATGTAAAGCTTTTTGCTAATGTTTCACATTGCTATATAATTGGTTATAGAAATCTCAAAAAAATGTAATAGAGAAAAGCTGATGTAGTCATTACCTGATTCTCAGCTGACTTACAACCTTATTGATTATAGTTTATAACTGCCACATTTACAGAGAAACTTCTGGTTAAAAGCATACTGTCTTCTTGTTATGAATAGTGTTCATGTATGATATTTGGGAAGAGTTGTCAAACTTAGGGAAAACAGTAACCTCCCCATAGAAGGCCTGGTCTGTAGACTCAGGGAAGTTCCTTTAGATAAAATAAAAACTGGAAAGTGGGTATTGCTTGGCTACACATAAATACTGAGTTTCAGAGATTAAATAAACTTCTCTGCCAGTTCAGAATCTCTGCCTCCTTGCCCATTGATGTGGACTTTTAATTGCAGCCCCAGTCTTTACTTGAAAACAGCATGAAGAGACCTGACAAGGCCTTGGGTTTGTATGGTTTGACCTCACCTCTAGAGATCGCAACCCCAAGAGGTCATGCACTCTAAATATAACATACTGCGAAACATACACAGGTTGATTTTTCTTCCCTTTATTGAAGTCATCCAAGCTGAAAGTCACCCATCTGGCTTCCGTTGCAGGCATCTATTTGTCTGACTTGACCTACATTGACTCGGCGTACCCATCCACTGGCAGCATTCTAGAAAATGAGCAAAGATCAAATTTGATGAATAACATTCTTCGAATAATTTCTGATTTGCAGCAGTCCTGTGAATATGGTAAGTTAGAAGAGGGGCTTTCAGAGTTCATTTCAGTTGTGGTACCACGTGGCCTTAGCTACCTTCAGCTATATTTCTCTCTTAGGTTTTCAGCTTCTGTGTACTTCCCTTGAATAATCGTCTCTCGTCTTTTACTTAGATATTCCCATGTTGCCTCACGTCCAAAAGTACCTGAACTCTGTTCAGTACATAGAAGAACTACAGAAGTTTGTGGAAGACGATAATTACAAGTAGGTCCATCTTCAAATTTGGATACTTTATCTAGTTTTCTACTTGGAGTCCTTTCACCTGATGCTTAATCATCTAAGTATGGAGTCTACTCTAATGCCTAGCCAGTGAGCCGTTAACAGTGGCAGCAGTAATTACATGTGTTTAATCGCTTGATACAACTGAACCAGTACACAGATGCTTCAGCTGTGTTGTTGCTGCTGCTGCTGCTGTTTAAAATCGTGTAGCTTTTGAGCCAGCGGGTGATCGTAAGCAGGCACTTGAGGGCAAGCCTGACAGTCTGCGTTGACTCCAGGTCCCACACAAGTTACCCGCCCTCAGAAAACAAACTTCAGACACATTTTAACACCCTTAAGCTGTACAGAACAGACATTCAAAATTGGGGATTTTGTTTTTTGGAGTTTTGGTTTTTTGTTTTGTTTTTTTCTTTTTCTTTTTTTTTATATAATGGGACTCTTTTCCTAAGGAAATTCATATTTTTCTAAGCAGAAAAAAATATATACCATTTACAAAATACAAAAAAAAATTCCTTCTTAAAGGGTTATTTTTAGGCACATCTTTGAAAGTGTTTCCATGACTTGAGGGAGTACTTAGACTTCCCATCTCTGAGTGGTTAAGGCACCACTGTAGAACTATATTTAATCTATAGCATACTGTCCTTTGTAAGGATCTTTAGGCTGATAACCATTTCCGGTTCTCAGCAGTCTCATTTAACACCACAGCTGCGGGCAGAAGATAATGCCTCTTGGTTTTCTTTTGGTTTCATTTGTCTATTTTTTTTTTCTTGGCTTTCTTCAGCTATTGTTTTCTGGAAAGTTATAAATTGTTTTCTTCTGGTATTAAATATATGAAGCTCTTAAAATATTGTTAATGCATCTAATGTTGTGTTGCTTGAAACTTTCATTACCATTTTCTTCCCCATATCATTTCTATCTTAACTTTTACACAAGTGTTTATATCTATAGCGACTCACTTGAACAGAATATGAGATCAGATTAGCTTTTAAAGCTGAAGGTTCCTAGGCCTCTTGCCCTGTGTTGTGACCGCCTTGAGTTTGATGGTCTGAGCCTTACGATTCATCTGGTTTTCCTGTGCCTCTAGTTACTGATGGAGAATTTATATTTGACAAACACATTTTGTCTAGGGAAATAAGATTGATTCTCTTGATGTCCTGAAAACTCAAGATACAAGTATTTATTAATATCTCTCTTCTGACCAAAGAAACTTACTGATTTACAAAGTGTTCAAGTATTATATAAAAGAATAGGCTAAGTAAAACCTACACAGTTACAGAGAGTGATAAACTTTTACTGACTGTAGCAAGATTGTGATCGAGTTTTGACTTGTTTTATTTTAATTAAAGCTAATTGTTTTGTTTTGTTTTGTTTTGTTTTGTTTTGTTTTGTTTTGTTTTGTTTGAGACAGGGTCCCTCTATGCAACACTAACTGTCATGGAACTCACTATGTAGACCAGGCTGGCCTTGAACTCGGAGGTCCACCTGCCTTTGCCTTCTGAATGCTGGGATCAAAGACAACACCACCATGCCTGGCTTAAAGCCAGTTTAATTTTCCTGAAGGTCATAGACTTAGATAGAATTCAGATATTTCCAAAGTGACATCTGACAACAGTTCATTTTTATAGGCAGGCTGGTGCATCATACTGACTTTGTTTTCCTTAGTGGTCAGATCCAGAGCAGCCTTAGCAGGGTGAATAAGCTTTTGGCAGTCACTAGGCTAGTTGCTTAGATTAAAGAAGCAAATAGATAGTGTACTTTTTCTCAAAGAACTCAGTCTGGCACATGACACATGCCTAGTACCCGTGGAGGTCAGAAGATTCCTTAGATTGTTGTACGTCTCCATGTAAGTGCTAGGAATCTAGCCTGGGTCATCTGGAAATCAGCCAGTCCTTTTAATCACTGAGCCATCTCTGCAGCCACTTCGTGTGGTTTTTATGGTGGGTGAAAAGAAAGTAAGAAACACTTAACTAATAGAAATGACTTTTATCCAAAGACCTCTGTTAGGCAACTTCATTTATTATGGCCAGCGTAAGTGTTACAGACAGCGTCTGTGTCAGCCAGCCAGGTTGAAAAAAAAATCTTTATTTAGTACATAGTTTTAACACAGAACAGTTTTTTTTTTCTTCTTCCTCATTGTGACTTGACATCACTCTTACGAGATGGAGGTTTGGTACTGTTAGAAACCATTGATACTTGAGGTAGCAGTTGGTCCCACAGCGCTTTCATACTGCTGTTAAATGCTATGGGTAGCCCTGGAGGGCAGCCCACCAGCTCCTGTTCTGTCCCATCCTGAAAGGGTGAAGTGCCGGCAAAGGCAGGCAGTGTGCCCAACAGAATGGGTTTGCTGGGCATGCAGTCTGCTAAGCCATTCATCTGTGCTGTCAACCACTGGGGCATCCCTCCAGCTACCTATCAGGTTTTTTTATATGCGAATGTGACTTTAGTATTTTGCCAATATTCATTGTTTCTTATGTTTTACTCTTTTGAAATTTAGGCTCTCTTTAAAGATAGAACCAGGAGCAAGTACACCACGCTCAGCGGCCTCCAGGGAAGACCTAGCAGGTCAGTCCATAGCTGTTGCTTGGCGAGGGTATTTCCAAAGTGGGGTTGATTATCAAACAGACCAGGCAACCTGATCTCTGAGAGAGAACTATACTGTAAAATAAGTAAAGACTTCACATGGCTTACACTGCTACAAAAAAGTACTTTTAAAATTTATCAGTATAAATCTTCAACTAAGCTTCTTAGTACATATTCTAAAATACTTGAAGGCCAGGTGGTTGGGTTGGGGATAAGCTATGTTACAGTGTCTAGATGAAGTAGGTGAGGTAACTGTGTGCCTCTCAAGTGTGCTTTTCATTCCTTTGCTTGTTTCTTTTTTTAATGACATTTTATGTATATGAGTACACACCAGAAGAAGGCATCTGATCCCATTACAGATGGTGGTGAGCCACCATGTGGTTGCTGGGAATTGAACTCAGGACCTCTGGAAGAGCAACTAGTGCTCTTAACTGCTGAGCCATCTCTCCACCCCCACTTGTTTGTTTCTTAAGTCAGGCTTTTACTGAATGGTTTGGACTAGCCTCTAACCTCAGCATCCTCCTGCCTCAGCCTCCCCATTGTGGGATTATAGGTTCACGCTTCCATGGTCAGCTTCTTTGGACATGCTGTCACTCACTGTGTGGCCCTGGCTGGCGTAGAACTCATAGAAATCCACCTGTTGCTGTCTCCTGAGTGCTGAGACTAAGGGTGTGTGCCCAACAACTTGTTAAAGAGATATTTTGAAAGCCATACACTGTGAGGTGTTTTTTAGTCACATAAATCAATTCCAGTGTCGGGCAATGTAGACTTTCCAACTTGAGCATTTGACCTAGCTTACACATTTCTTTAAGTAAATTCAAGGCTATATATAAAAAAGCAAGGTATCAAATTGAAACCACTGAGAGTAGGACTCAGCCCTAGGTACTTAGTCTAGATTTTGTTTTTGAATTAAGAGTCCAAGCCTATCTCTTTTTCTCCTATATAAAATAGGGAATTATTTATACTGCCTTTGTTGAACGTACATAAGAGAGAGAAAAATTTTTATATAGTTGGAGATTTGTTTTAGAATTTAGAAAATAAGTATTTCTTCAAGTCAATTAAATAGAACTAACAGAATCTAAAACTTAGAGCGCAATTTTATATGAGAGAGGTTTTATTTTTGTTTTTAAGGATCCTTAGAAAGCTTGTGGTAATTCCCCTCTCTCTTCTCCCCTTGGACTCTTAGGTCCTGACGTAGGAGCCTCGCCACAGGGAGGAAGGAAGAGCAGTGCTGCGGAGGGAGCCCTACTGCCACAGACACCCCCGTCCCCTCGGAACCTCATTCCACACGGACACAGGAAGTGCCATAGCTTGGGTTACAAGTCAGCACATTTCTTAAGTTATTTGTAGATGGATTTATTACTCTATTAGTAAAACATCCTTCTATGTTCTGTTTACTTAAGTAGAAATTAGGTGCTTTGTGATTGCTTTTGTTAATAACATCAGTCTTCAGATTCAGTAAAAAAAAAGAAAAAAAAAAAAACTACCTCGTTTGCTTAAATGGGGTTTATTTTTTCTTGTACCTGGATTTGGAATTGAGTGTTCTCAGAAATGCCCATATTTGAGAGAGATAAATAAGGAGTTTAGAGAACTGTAGTAATACACTGAAAGTTTCTTGTTGAAATGTGACCTTGTTATCAAGAGCTATTATTTGTTATAACAAATACAAATAATAAATTAAGCCCTAAAAATCTACTGTTTGTATTCCTAAATACAAAAAAAAAAAAAGAAAAAGAAAAAAGAAACACAGCTCTTCCTTAGTATCATTAGGTTTGCACTACTGATTCCTCAAGGCGGGGTGCATGCTCAGTGGGCATAGCTCTGTCCCAAAACAAACTCTGGAAAGAGTTTTGATTGTCTTTTATATTTCAAATAGAGACACAGGAAGTTATAAGGAATGTTTCTCTGTGCCTCTAGTTTCATTCACAAGATGAACACAGCAGAGTTTAAGAGCGCAACGTTCCCAAATGCAGGGCCACGGCACCTGCTGGATGATAGTGTCATGGAGCCGCACGCACCGTCACGAGGCCAGGCTGAGAGCTCGACACTTTCCAGTGGAATATCCATAGGTGAGAGACAAGAAATAGTGTAAACAAGAAAAAAACAAAACCAAAAATCCTCAGCTTCAAAAACATTCATTAACCCTAGCACAGTGGTCCTCAACCTTCCTAATGTTGTGAGCCTTTAATACAGTTCCTCATGTTGTGGTAATCCTCCGCTATAGAATTATTTTTATTGCTGCTTCCTAACTGTAATTTTGCTAGTTATGAACCTTAATGTGGATATCTGGTATGTGATCCCTCCAACAGGGTTGTTAGGCACCCTCACCAAGAGGTTGAGGCCCACAAGTTGAGAACCACTGCCCTAGTATAAACACAAAAATATTTGGTTTAAAACAAAGGTACAATTAAATGTAGGATGATGGTATATAGTTGAGAATTATTTTAAAACTGTTAATAGTTTTTGACTCCAAATGAGAAGACCTTCGGGGACTTTGAGAGAAGACCATACACTGCTTTACCTGGTTGGTTAACTGTGTGTAATTTGGATATGAAGATGAAGAAAGGGGAAGAAAGGAAGGACTCAAGTCAGATTCCAGGTCACTTGACTTCAGCAGCCAGTTGGCGAGTGGTGACTCCCCACACAGCACTGGGAGAGAATCGATATTGACTGCTATTGGAGGGGTGGACGAATTTCACAAGTCGGGAATTTTATTTTGAAATGGTTTGGTCCTTACTAGAGACGTCAGGTCATTGAATATATGAATCTGGAGCTCACACTGGGTAATGTCAGGTCTGCAGCAATATAAAAAGCACCAATCTCTAAACTGTAAGACTTGCTTATGTCACTCAGGTATAGTATAAATAAACAAGAATGTTCTCACATAAAGAAGTTTATAGAAATTATTTTTTAATAGAGATGGGCTAACAAAGGAAACTATGAAGGGGAGAAGCCAGATGTGCTATTACAGAAGCCCATGGTCTTGAAGAAGGAAGTCGTTTTGTGTGTGCAACACATACGTGGAGCTGAGGTAGTCCTGGGATGTCCTCCTCTGTCACTCTTTACCTTATTTTTGAGATAGACTCTTTGACTGAACCTGGAACACACTGCCAATGAACCCTCATGATCCTCCGGCCTCTTCCTGCTGGTGCTGGGATTATAGGCACGTGCTGCTATGCTGATGTGAGTCCTAGGGCTCCAAACGCGGGTTTTCATGCTTGGACAGCAAGTATAACCCTACTGAGCCATTTCCCCAGTGTAGAAGAGAGAGATTCTAAACATATCAACTAAGTTGTTCTGTTAGTAAGTTCCCATAGATGCCTGAGAAGCTTTCAGCTGTGATTGATCACACTGTGGCTTTTTGAGCCTGCAACAAGGGAACATGTCATGGTCATGAGTCTGTTGTAATGAAACCTTTGAGCTTTAATTTTGTTAATTTATGTGTCCAACCTCTTTCTTTCAAATTGTCTCAGTGTTTGTCAGTCTTGTTTTTCTCAAAGTACCAAATGATTTTGTTTATTTCTCCCTTAACTTAATTCACTAATTTCTTCTTTAATCTTTATTGCCATTTACTGTGTTTGGGGTTGACTGCTTGTCTTTTGAGAGTCTTGGTGCTTTTTGTTAACTCTTAGTTTTTTTTTTTTAAACATTTCTAATGATTTTTTTTCTTTTATTTTTTTGTGTGCATTGGTGTTTTGCTTACGTGTATGTCTGTGCGGGTGTCAGATCCCCTGGAACTGGTTACAGATAGTTTTGAATTGCCATGTGGTTGCTGGGAATTAAACCTGGGTCCTCTGAAAAAATAGTCAGTGCTATTCACCGTTGTGCCATCTCTCCAACGCTATCTCTTAGATTTTTTTAATATGAGCACTTAATAGCTATTAGCTTTCTTTTAAGTACTGCCTTGGCTGCATCCCAGACGTTTTGATAGGTTGTGTTTTCATTATTGTTTGTCTATAGGCATTTTTCTATTTAAACTATTCATTCAAAATGTGTTGTTTTGTCTCTTAGTATTTTTATGAACTCTGAAGTTTTTCTTATTGTTGATTTCTAATGTTATTTCCTTTGTGGTCTGACACGATACAGGAGATTATTTCATTTTTTTTTTATTTGTTGAAACTTGATTTGAATCTTATGATATGATTGATTTTGGTGCTGCAGTTTGATTGTTTTACTTCTTAGTTTTAAGATGTTTATAAATTGTGTGTTATGTGCATGCATATGTATGTGCCTTGCATAGGTGTGTGCCTTTGTGAGTGTGCATGGCCAGCAAAACACAGAAGATGAAGTCAGATCTTTTACAGGTAGTTACAGGTGCTGTGACCCACTGGACGTAAATGCTGAAACCCACACTTGGGTCCTCTGAAAGAGCAGCCAGCACAGTCTTAACACTTGAGGCATCCTTTCCAGCCTGTTTCTTACTTTTTCTTTAATTGTGTATGTATGCATGTCAGTTTATGAGTACATGAAGCACATGAGCACAAATGCCCCAGAAGGCCAAAGGCAGATGCCTCGGATAGGTCTGGAGCTGTAGTCACAGGTGTTTGTGAGCTGCCCAGCACACTTTCAGCGAGTACAACTCAGGATCTCTGCAAGCACAGTATAAGCTCATAACTGCTGGGCTATTTCTCCAGCCCCCATTTTTACTTCTTAAACTGTGTTTTATTATCTGGTCACTATTTCTTTTTATTATTAAAAACTATACTCATAGTATGCTCAGTTGGGGTTCGGGTTGTCACATTGCTCAAGGGCTGAGCTGTATTGATATAACCTCTCAGTGTCCTTAGAGATTTATTATCTGAGCTACTGACCCCTTAGCCTGAAAATTCCAAACTCTGAACACAGAACTGCTTCGGAGTCCTCCAGTACCACCCGGCAGTGTGGTACTCTCCTTTTATATAAATACTGCCAAGTAAATGACAAGACAGATTGTTACCTGAAATAATACTTCTCTATTAATGTTCTAAGTAGCTGTGTGCACAGCATCAACCTTGATAGGGGGAGAAAAAAAAAGAACCTGTTTTCAGCTAAAAGTTTGTTATTCCAGTGGAATCTAGTGTGCTACTTAAGAAAAAAGATTTTGTATTCGCATTTAGCTTTTCCCTCTATGTATTAAAATTATACTCTAGTTTAGCTGTAGTTTTTACTTTTATTGTGTGTCTTCTCAGAAATATAGATGAAACATTTATGAATCTTCATGGAGTCAGAATTTATTGAACATTGGTTTCACAGGTACCACAATTTCATGGCAACAATTTGCCAGACATTGGTACTTTTCTTGATGAACTTAGCCAAGACAAACATAGGTTCTCTTATTCCAGTCTTAACTGATATTAGCTCCACATCAGATGTTGCATGTGACACAGGCGGGTTGTAAGATGGCTACAGAGGATCGAGGAGGCAAGGAGCCTCAGCTGGGAAACCGGAAGTGAGGTAACAGACCGGCAGGAGGTCCGTGATGAGGGGCTACAGGATCAGACTTGAGCTATAGAGCCAAGTCCAGGACACAGGACAGAGGGCAGGACCAAATCCAGATGAACAGGTGAGCAGTAGATGGGCAGTACACCCAGACAGACAAGCAGGGGGACAGGCAGACAATTTGAGTAAGTCATCTCAACAGTAAGAACAGAGACGAGCTGACCCCAAGAGAGTCAGGTATTCTCCTCCTGTCAGTCGCCTGAGGCACACCAGTGGTCAGGTAGTTGGTTGGAGCTTGCGACATCAGAGGGGCTGTAACCTCTGCATGAAATCAGGATGAGGGAGCTGCCGCCCCCTTTGATCTACTGCCTCCATTAAGTTCTTGGGCCTGGTTTTCCTTATGTCGTCTGAATATGCCCATGTATTCCTACAGTCCCAATTCACACTGGTAAATGTATAGGGTGGCACCATTTCTGCTCCATGAGACTTGTCTAAAATCCCAGGATTCAAACCCAGCACTGGAAAAAAAGAGTCCTAAGAGGAAAATGACTGAAGTGTGATATTCTCAATTTGAAGTAAAGACACATTAGTCATTTACTATTTGCCCATGTAACAACCAAAGAAGTAAGAAAATAAGTACAAAGGCAGAACCTGAAGAGATGGTCTCCAGCTTTAGGCACTTAGTCTAACTTAAGTAATCAGATACCTTGTACTTAGTAGAAGAACACCTATGGGAAGTTCTTGGAGTGACGCAGTGTCCTGCTAGTTACTCTGTGTTGTAGTTGAGTGGGGTCCAGGTTATGCCATGCCCTGGGGAGCTCCATTTCAAATTTCATTAGGCTGTTTATCCTCATAATGGTATATTGGTTTCAAAACAGGAAATTAGTATGCCATGAACTTCTTTCAATTTCAGTTATGGCAAACTTAGTAAGAAAAAGCTTTTTCTCTGTACACTTGGATGGTAGAAGACTTTTGGTTTTGTGGTTTTGAGTGTCTGACTCGGGGGTAGAGCAGCTCTCTTCCACTAAGCTGCATCTCCAGCCCTTGTGTCTTGTTGTTTCTGTTTGGTTTTGTTTTCAGACAGGGTCAACTATTACATGCGCCAAGCTGTCTTTGAGTTTAAAACCTTCATGTCTCCACCTTCCAAGTACTAGGGTTATCAGTATAATTAACATATTGTTAATGTGTACTGCCAGAAATTTTATTTTTGAAATATAATTTTATTTATGGAAAAAAAATCACTTACATAGCAATAATAGAACACCGTTTGGTTTTAGGGAGCAGTGATGGTTCTGAGCTAAGCGAAGAGACCTCATGGCCAGCTTTTGAAAGGTAGGAGAAACGATTCACTAAAATTGCTGCAAACTTATTTGGTCTGTCTTAAAGAATATTTTAATTAGATGAGGTACATGTTACATGTCACTAAGTGACTACGTTTTTCTGGTCAGAAACAATGACTAGTAGACATTTAAGTCTGGAATTATGCATGAGAATGCTATTGGTGACCTTTATATAGGTTTATTTGGTGTTTTTACACATGTTTTGAATTTCTGAAATTGTAGATTTTTAATAATAATGAATTTTTAATAAATATTTAAAATAACCATAATTAACATCTATATTCCAAAATGAGATTATTTCCTTAGGTCTGGGTAATTTAATGGTAAGACACTTATTTATCACTTTGTTGCTTTCCTAAGGACAGAATAGCAGCTAACTTAAAATTATAAGATTGACATTTGACCTAAAGGTCTGTGTATGTGCGGTGCTTTGCACAGACCTGCTATAAGGCCGTGCTGCCTTCTCCTTCTTTTAAGCTGTAAACTATGCCATCTGTGTGGAGACGGTGCTTTCCATTGCTCATCAAATAGAAGCTCTCCCTGAGGCCAGTGGAAAGTTATTCAAATAGGTACTGCTAAACGCCCATTCCAAGTCTTATGTCATTGCTTCAGTGTCCTCCGGCTCAAGACATTTGACTTGACAGAAAGACTTGTTCCATTTTTAAATGTAAACCAAGATCTGAACTTGTAAGCTGCAAGTATAGTAGGGAGATGGGGGAGTTGGTGTTTGTTATGCAATATTAAGGATTGAACCTAGGCCTTCCACTGAGCCCTAAGACAGTTGTTTAGACTAAATATTTATGTTCTATGAAAATTCATCATCACTCATTTTTAAAAGGAACATTTGAAATTATTGGAAACTTCCTCTTTAAAGATTTCTCAGGAGTGCGTTATGAAGACTTCACTTAAACATTCTACTTTTTGGTCTTTTATACACTGAGGGTCCCATTTTGTTGTCTCTTTTGGGGAATTTGTAACAACTTGGTTTTATGTGTTCTCTTCAGAAGTTCTACTTTCTTTCAAGATTTATTTTTATATTATGTGTATATGTGTTTTTGCCTGTGAATATGTCTGTATCATTTTCATGCCTGGTACCTACAGAGATCAAAATACGTGTCAGATCACCTAGAAGTGGAGTTACAGATGGTTGTGCGGCACTGTGTGGGTGCTGGGAATTGAACCCAGGCCCTCTGCAAGAGCAGACAGTGCTCCTCATGCTGAGCCATCTCTCCAGCTCCACTTTCATTCTTTTCATTTGAGTTTACCTGAAACAGAAAACATAAGAGTTGCATTGGGCTTGTTCTCTGAATTTGTAAAAAGTGTCTTTCCCTCAGGAAAAGGCATAAAATCAGTCTTGGTTAAGGTGTATATTGTCATTTTTAGGTTAACAGCATTGGTTAGCAATTGTTTCTTAAGTTGGTCAAACTGTAAATACATAACCCAACATACTGTGGCCTTAGTGTGTTCTCACCTATGAAGTCAGTTTATAAGGTCTTAACTTTCATACCTCAGAATAGTGATTTTCTGTATAATAGTTTGGTTTACATACATTTACCAATAACCTGTCTGCACTTGTGCCAAGTGTAAAGTAGTGGCTTTTCAGACATCTTGAAAACAGCTAAAAAACTGCAGGCCAGGAAGATTTAGACTTGAAGTAGTACTGACCCACATACACACCAAGCGCCCTGCATCAGCTTGGGGCCTTGTAGCAAATGCGATATCTGAGCTATATCTCAGTCTCTCAATCCCTCTCTGCATTTCAACCACAATTTCCTACTCTTATTTCCTAGGGAACATCAAATATCATAGTAGTTTTTTACTTCCAAGTATCATATATCACATACTCTTGACTTTCCCAACTTTCCCAAACAAAGAAATACCATTGTTTCTGGGTATATTCCCTATATCAAGTACAGAATGATCCGGAATGAATGCTGGTTCATACCTTTTTTATCATTTATTGGCTTTGTCAGTTGATATGGAATTAAAAACTGTCTATATTTACTCCTTAGTTTGTCCCTGCTAGTTTACTTTGAGTTATAATAAGAGATTTTCCTCATTTATCTTAAGTTTATAAGCCACATTACTTTTAGGTGTCTTCAGAGGGACATACAATAAAATGAATTATTTATATATGTCCATATATAATATTTAAACTGGAATCCAAGTAGAGCAAAGGGGCTTTGGAGCATTTTTCAGGTTTCCATACTATTTGGCCATAAATAGTTGTTAGCCTTTTGACAGATGTATAAAAATAAGTGCATGTGTTACTGTATAGTATAGCATGTACTTTTATACCTGTGTTTTTAGAGTCAATAGAAAAAATTTTAAATGTGTTGCATGTTTTAAAAAAGAACCATATCTTGCCCTTTTTAAGGATTATATAGAAAGCTAGATTATATAGGAAACTAGAATACTATTCTAGGTATTGATGATGATCCTATGAATAAAAATATGTGTAATATATACAATTTATAATGGAATCCAACAGGAACAGATTATACCATTCTCTCGGCCCGGTGACAAGAATGCCACGAAATGGCTATCGAAGCCACACGAAGGCCAGCAGGTACAATCCCCTGCATCAGGGGCCATAGAACTCCCTTCTGGTATTGGTGGCTGGCTCATATGGGTGTGGTCTGGCATTTTTTTCTCTTCTTCCTCCGCTAATTGGTTTTAAAACTAAACAAATTGCCCATGAAAACTTTCTTTAAAAGATTTAACACAGTTTAAATTTGAAGTATTCTTTCTCAATCACAGGGCTAATCATTAGAAGTTGCATCCTTATGTAACATTTTTAAAATACTGCTAAGTTGTTAGTCCTTTAATGACACATTTTCTAATGCAGCTAATTACGGCTGAGCTATGTAAAAATCAATTTATTTTCTTACGTTGCAATCAAAGCATTTATTTTGCTAGTAAGTTTATATTCAATTTGTCCTTTAAAGTAAGCTTTTTCTTTTCTTCGGATAAACCATAGAGCCTGAAGTCTATTTCATTAAGTAATTTTTATTGAGTTCTCTACTTAGCTAGGCCTCTCTAAAGTATTCTAGCTCTGGGAGAACCTAAAGATGGTAGATGCATGGGGCCGGGGACTCTAGGAACAGGAAGTCACCTCAGAACAGTAGCACAGTAACTGTGAGAAGCAAACCCTGTCAGCCTGATGGTGTCTCATCTCGTGTGTCCCTCTGTAGAAACAGCTGGAACATGAAATCTCTAGGTTGTCACTTTGAAGACACCTAAATAATCATAAAGAAAATTGAGCTTCTACATTCTTGGCTGTTTTAAGAGTTGTACACCTCTCAACACATCACCAGAGACTGGCATTTAAATCATTCTGTCTTAAACATAGGCTCTAAACTCAACTAAGGAAAGACATTAAAATGATTCCTAATGTATATGAAAAGGGAATCCTGAGTGTGAGGTTTTTCTCTGTTAGAGATATGTTAGGCCATAATCAAACACTGAGCATTGGTAGCTTCTGAATATCACTAAGACTTACTGCAGAAAGCCAGTTCTAAAAGCAGGTGATTGACACAGTTACTTTTATTTAAATACTTTAAAAGGAAGTGTGAGTTTTCTGGGGTTGGTTTTTGGGGGGTGGGGCGTTGGTTAGTTTTTGTTTTTGTTTGTTTTAGCTTGTTGTTTGTATTTCTCTGTTTTGTATACTTAAATACTTGTAACAAAATCCTTGTCTCCCTTGCCAACAGTTCTGTTGTTTTACCACAGTGATGTACTGTGGCATGTTAAAAAGAAAAGAAATTACCCTAAAATCTTGACTAATCTTTGTGAAAGTAAATTGCTGCTTTCTCTCTAAATTGCATTTGTTGAAATATGTGATGAATGTATGTTTAAACATCTCCTGACCTTAATAACTTCATAATTAACCTTCATGACAGCTTAAAACTTTCAAATCAGTAAGTCTTTAAGCTCCTCAGTATCTGACCAGCTCTCAATAAAGTCTCCGAGTTTTAAATGTAAGAATAATTGGATTATTTATGGACCTCTCAGTGACCATCGCAGACACACCCACTTAGTGCTTCGTCTCCTTGTTACAGCTCTGCGGAGTCGGAAGACTTGGCGGTGCATCTATACCCCGGAGCTGTTACTATTCAGGGTGTGCTCAGGAGGAAGACCTTGTTAAAAGAAGGCAAGAAACCCACAGTAAGGTTCATTTCTTGAGTCATTTAACCTATACATTTTCCTTATTATGTTTCTTTCTTCTCTCTCTCTCTCTCTCTTTTTTTTTTTTTAATCCTGGACAAGGAAAACTCTGTTCTTAATCAGGAGGATGAGCACATAGGCAGAAAGTGTACTTGGTTGTCGGTGTTGGGTAGTCAGCAAAGAAGACTGCTTGGACATGGGTCTCAGCCAATAGAAAGCTTCTGTTAGCTGGCTGGAAACTACACTGGGTGTTTGAGTTCCCAGTATAGCCCTCAGCCTTTCTCAGGGTGAGCTTTTAACCATAAAAACTATGTTCTGCATTGACATACCTTCAGATAAGAAGTGCAGTTAGCCTGAAGTGGAACTACAGAAGCCAAGAGGAAAGGGTAAGGTTAGTACGTTCAGAGACTTTCCCAGAACTAAGTATGGACTTTGGATTGGGCCTTTTAGTTTTGTCAGGTGGTGATGTGTGCATGCTGAGGTTTACAGCCTGGGTGATGTTTCATCATGGAGGCAGGTGTGCTAAGGTCGGGGCCCTGGTAAGGTTTTTGTTCTGACTCAGGTGATTACTGTCTTTTCCCTGTTGACTTGGGCCAACCTCAAAGTGTTATTTAAACTGTTGGCTCACAGGAAATGAATAAGGAAGGAAGGCAGAGAAGTCAGGGCTCCAGGCCACCAGATTCCCTTTCCCTGTTTCTTAAAGTGATAAATCTGCCTTGTAGATTGCAGCTAAATCACATTTTAAGCATACTTAAGCCAAATAATCCTTCACTTCTCTTCAACTTCTAAGGTAATCCTTATCCAAAATTATTTTTTAATCAACCCTGTTATTAAGAAATAGCAGTAATAAGCTGGATGTGATGGTGCATGCCTTTAATCCCAGAGACAGGTGGATCTCTCTGAGTTTAAAGATAGCCTGGTGTACATGGTGAGAGCTTGTCTCAAAAAAAAAAAAAGTGAATAGTAATGTGTGTGGAAAACCTGAAAAATGGAATTTGACCAATTTTGTTCCATCAGTTCATTTAAACTTTGCAATGTAGTATTTTTTCATGTAAAACAGAATCCCAAATACTAAATGTTCTCCAAACAATAATCATGCTAGAAACAAAAAGTTTATGGGAAAGAGCCTTTAAGTATAGAGCAAAAAAAGGTTGGTTTTTCTAAACACCACAGTAGTTTGAGTACTAAGAAAAGTTTTTCTCTTTACCACAAATGACTGGTAGATGAAGAGATAAGCTGAGGTGAGAACCAGAAACGGTTTCTCTTTGAATAAAACATGAATGACATTAGGTTTACTCCTAAAAAAAAAAAAAAAAAAAAAAAAAAAAAGTCTTTCATGTTGGGCAGTGGTAATGCACACCTTTAATCCCAGCACTTGGGAGGCAGAGGCAGGAGGATCTCTGAGTTTGAGAGTTCGAGGCCAGCCTGGTCTACAGAGTGAGTTCCAGGACAGCCAGGGCTACACAGGAAAACCCTATCTCAAAATTTAGAGGGGGTGGGGGGGAGTTGAGTTTGTCTTTAAATAGATCAAGACTGATGAGGTTCTTATAGCAAGAAAAACGGTTGATTCTGTGATTTCTGTGAGGCAGAGAATCTGTGCTGGAAACATATGAGCTTCTTTTTAAGCCAGACTTTAGTTTGTACAGGAATTATAGAATAGCATTATAGGAGAGTACAATAAAACTTTGAAGAGTGTATATGTAATAGTTGTCTATAGAGAAAGAGTACAATGTCTTCGTTGAGTAAAAAATAAAGGAAAAAAATACTAAAAGATTGGTGAATACACTCTTACCAGTGGCATGGTTGTGCTTCCTCCTCTGCTCCTATAATATGGTGCCAAGTAACCAGGTACGATTAGAGGTCCGTCCGAGTTTCATCCCAAGAAGGGGGTGGGAGGGGTGAGAGTGTGAGAAACAAGATAGACTGCCTGCCTGAGGGGCGTAGACCAGGTGGGAAGAGTGGAGGAAGGACATGGGATTGGGGCAAGAAGGTGATGGCGCTACAGCGTGATATCGGGTAGTGATGTGATGTGCCTGTGTGTATGTACATATTCATGCGTTTGTGCTTGTGCATACTCATGTGTAGACAGATACGCAGTTCTGCATGCAGGTGGCCAATGTCAGAGTCTTCTCCATCACAGAGTCTCACTGAACTTCAAGGTCACTGGATGGCCAGCAGTCTGTTTGCCTGTGTCTTCCCCCAGATACACCCAGCTACTACACCAGCTTTTACCTGCTGGGGTTCTGAACTCAGGTCCTCATGCATGTACACCAAGCAAGCACTTTCCTGTCTCCCTAAAGGTTACAGGATTCTTGAAGAATTACTGGATCCACCACTAACGTATGCTCACTGAACGCGATGGGGGTATCTGAGGTGCAGACATCAGAAGTGCTGTAACCTGCCTCTGAACTCGCAACTTCAATAGCTGAAGTGAGGGTAGAATGCTGTCACAAAAAAAGGGAAAGTCAAGCTCTTACAGTAGTTACCTGTGTGTTTATCCTCCCCAGGTAGCATCTTGGACAAAATATTGGGCAGCCTTGTGTGGAACACAGCTTTTTTACTATGCTGCCAAATCTCTGAAGGCTACAGAAAGAAAGCATGTAAGTATTCCTCCTCAAAATCTTTGGCTTTGCTTCACAGCCTCTTCCTGGTTATAAAGAAAACACCCCTGATAGGACATAGTACCACATTTCTCACCCATCAGCTCTCATGTTTCCTCCTGGCATGCAATATTGGAGCTGGAAATGTGTGTAAGGACCACTCTAGAATGTGTGTGTCTTAGGGTTATACTGCTGTAGACAGATGTCATGACCAAGGGAACTCTTATAAAAGACAACATTTAATTGGGGCTGGCTTACAGGTTCAGAGGTTCAGTCCAGTATTATCAAGGCAGGAACATGGCAGTATCCAGGCAGGCATGGTGCAGGGAGAGCCGAGAATTCTACATCCTGTTCCAAAGGCAAACAGGAGAAGACTGGCTTTCAGGCAGCTAGGATCAGGGTCTTAAAGCTCACACCTACTCTCAACAAGGCCACACCTAATAGTGCGACTCCCTGAGCCAAGCATATACAAACCATCACAGTGTGTGAGGGACTATTCTGGAATGTGTCTAAGGGGCCACACTGCAATACCTTGGAATCACTGTGTGTTTTCAAGTCTTTTGAACACTTTTTTCATTGCAAGTGTGAAAATGACAGATTACAAACATCTACCATGGCATCAGACCTTTCTCAGCCCTGAGTTTGGGTCAGAACATGGCTCAAAACCTTTGCCTTATAGCCTCAGATCCTGGTGTGTAAATGGAAATGAAAACAACACCTAAAATTCTACCGCACGTCTGGACATGGCGGCACATGCCTTTAATCCTTGTACTCAAAGGCAGGGGACTTATGACCTCTGTGAGTTTGAGGCCACACTAGTGAGTTCCAGGACAGCCAAGACTACACAGGGAGACTTTGTCTCGACAAGAACAGAGAACAATCTGTCTGAGACTCAGAGACACTGACAAGCTAGGCGGCATGAGTGGGCACAGTGGGCACTGCAGTCTGCTTTCCTGCCCTCCGTGGTTCTTTAGAAGCCTCTTGGTGCTCTTTCTCTGCATAGTCTTTAATTATGGAGTGATTGCTTTTTAGTTAGTATACCGAGTATTAGCTTTTATTGTGGTATTTCAAGCATAAGTTTTGTTGATTATCCTTCTCCCATCTATCCCCAGTTCCCCAGACCATCCCCCATTCTTCCCCCAGAAGGCCCCTTTTTCACCGTTTTTTTTTTTTTTGGGGGGGGGGTTTGAGACAGGGTTTTTCTTCATAGCCTGGGCTGTCCTGGAACTCACTCTGTAGACCAGGCTGGCCTTGAACTCAGAAATCCTCCTGCCTCTGCCTCCCAAGTGCTGGGATCAAAGGAGTGCGCCACCACTGCCCGGCTTTTGATCGTTTTTTTTTATTTGAGAATTTCATACACAAATACACTGTATGTGAATTATTTCTGCCTCAACTCTTGTGTCTCTCCTCTCGAATTCATGACATAATTTTCTTTTGTGTACACACATATACACCCTACCCTTGATGTGAAACCTACTAAATCCAATTAGCATTGCTATTATTTGCATGTGCTTAGACGTGACCACTTGGGACTTGTCCTGGGACCTTGGGGCGGGACTGAAAAGAAGTTCAAGGCCAACTTGGACTACTTTGTGAGACCGAGTCTCAAAAATGAAGGAGAAGAGAAGAAAAATACTTGGCAACCATATGCCATACATATACCTATATTGGAGTTATTTATTATTTCTTGGCCTGTGAAGAATAACTTCAGAAGAAAGAAAGGGTACTATTTTATTATATCCCTATTTTTGAAATTTAAAAATGAAAGCATACTGATGATATTAAAAGATTTAGGCAAAGTGTAATCATTGCAAAAAATTACAGCTATGTTTAAATCTATCACTACATGGTAATGATTGAACAAATGTGTTTGACTGGTTAAAATTTGAAATGTATAAAAAGGAAAAGTTGTGCTGGGCAGTGGTGGCACATGCCTTTAATCCCAGCACTTGGGAGGCAGAGGCAGGTGGATTTCTGAGTTCGAGGCCAGCCTGGTCTACAGAGTGAGTTCCAGGACAGCCAGAACTACACAGAGAAACCCTGTCTCGAAAAATCAAAAAAAAAAAAAAAAAAAGGAAAAGTTGTATATTTATAAAGTAAGAATAAACCAGAAGAATAGAACAGGAAAGTGACTGGAAGGGGAAGGTAAAGTACAGTAACTAGCCAACTTAATTCAATGTTCACTCACTAAGAAGAACGCAAACACTGCTGAGCCTGCATCAGCTGTGAGGTGAGGTTACGTGTGTGGTAGGCAGGCCCCGTCCATGCTTCCCTCAATACCGCAGTTCTCATCTAAGGAAAACTTGTTATCTTTGAACAAGTGAATAAAGATGCTGGTAGAAGAATATTTCTATAATGGTTGCAAGAGCAGAAATCTGAAAATACACAAAATAATTAACAGCAGTTGTCTTAGTTGTTTTTTACTGTGAAGAGACACTGTGACCACAGTAACTCTTATAAAGGAAATCATTTAGTTGGGGCTGGCTTAGAGTTCAGAGGTTTAGTCTAGTACCTTAATGGCAGAAAGCATGGTAACACAGAGGAAGGCATGGTAGCTGAGAATTCTGCATCTAGATCCACAGGCAGCGAAAGAGAAAAACACTAGGCCTGGCTTGAGCATCTGAGACCTCAAGCCCACCCCCAGTAACAGACTTCCTCCAACACGGACACTCCTAATAGTGCCGGTTCCTACAAGCCTATGAGTTGTTTTCATTCAACCTACCACAGCAAGGAAAGTTATTGATCAGTTTAGAAAAAATACAAATTATAGTATAAATAGACCGAGATAGCATAAAACTGTCAGTATCAGCACAAAAAAGGCTGTTTCCAAGCATAGGAAGGAGTTGGGGGTAAGGCATGCTCCCCCAAACGTGACTGACTCCAGACTTGTGGGGTTCAGCATATTGAGGAATATCACTGTTTATAGCTCATCCCTCTGCTATGGGCTTACATTGCTTGACAGTGCAGCAGAGGTCAGGAGGCTCATGTTAGTAAACCGTGCTGTTTACTAGGAGCTGTCAAGTGTGCTAGCCTGTAGTTTTAGAATGTCAGTTTTATAGCTTCCTGGTTTTATTTTTATTTTTGTCCCATTAACATTACTATTGTACTATAGTCACTCCTTTTTCAATAATTTTAGCTGTAAAAGATAGTAAGCAGACATGGTTGCGCCCTCCCTGAATAAGAAATAGCATATTACCTCACCTGTGAAGGCCCTGGGGCTGTCCTCAGTCTGCCACCATCTTGTGTTCCATTGTAGTCAGTGCTCTGCTTTCCTTAACCTCGGGTTGCGTGTCACATGTACGTGTGTGCACTCTCCCTTTTTTGAAGACAGGGTCTTACTGTGTCACCTTGGCTGACCTAAAGCTCATATAAACTAGGCAGGGATTAAAGGTGTGCAGTGCCACAGCCAGCTGCGTGTGCGTTCCTCGGAGCTGACAGTCACTGTCAGTGCCTGAAGTTGTCATTTATTCCTTTTCATAGTTGAATAGGCTTATATTCTATGCGCTTATCCTAATGCATCCATTCCATTGTGCTGTGGGTATTTTATGTACATATTCCCTGGGGTATATCCTGAGGAGTGTAAATACCGAGCTTTTCAAGAAAGGGCAAATTAAGTTTCCTGGTCACTGGGAATAATGAGGCTCCCTTTGGTCTTTGCTGCCCATGTGCATAAAGCCTAGCTTTATTCTATACTGTTGTTTATTTCATAAGCTTCACCCTACTTGTGCTGTTTCTTCTATGTAATGCCTGTGTAGATCTGTTGCTTGTTCTTATTCTAATTAATAAAAGCTCTTCGTTTCACCAAGGCACATTCCACTAGTAATTACATGGTAGCATGTCATTCATTGTTTTACTGTGTTCTGTGACTTCTGGCAGGTTTTTTTTTTTAAACATGCTGCTAAGATTGAGTTGCGGCTACGTAAACATTCTTTTTAAATTTCTTTTACTGAGATTAACTTTACTTTCTGTTCTTCATAGTACCCCTTTCTCAATAGAAAGAATAGTTAACTATAACAGTAACCAGCATCCCTAAAGTACCTCACTTTTTTTTTAAACTATCTTGCTTTTGCAAAATGCAAATAGGAATTGTGTGCCAGCCTCGCTGGCACATGAAGTATTGAGGCTGAAGAAGCACAGGTGTTGGGATGCAGCTTCTCTTCATGGTAATGCTGTGACTAGAAGAGCAGATTCCCAGCATGCCCATTGGGAATGTAGAGTAGAACAGTTTGGGTGTCGTGAAAGTTGACTCTGGAGATGACTGGACTGAGGCAGGCTACCTAAGAGGACATGATGAGCTGACCTGAGCCAGCATTCAGTCACACAGCTCATCTCTCCTATGGACACACTGAACATAAGCTCCCTGACACTTTTAACTTTGACTGAGAACTAGACATAAAAGTCACTGGTCATCTCTGTTTTCTCTGCTTCTCTCTCACCTCAGTTCAAATCAACGTCAAATAAGAATGTGTCTGTGGTGGGCTGGATGGTGATGATGGCTGACGATCCAGAGCATCCAGACCTCTTTCTGCTGACTGACTCTGAGAAAGGTGAACGGTTAGACAGACTGAGTTCAAAAGTCCTGCAGACACTAACTCCTGATCCTGATCTTGGTTCCGCTGTATTACCAACAGAGAAGTATTTGAGGAATTATATCTATCGGGAGGACTTTTATTCCATATTGTGTTTTAAGCTTTAATTAAAAGCCCAAGTAATCCAGATGGTGGAATCTGTACACCATACTTTGGACAAAGGCTCGTCATTCGCAAATGCAGAGTGGCTCATCATCTGTACCCAGCAGTAACAGCATTCTCAAGTCCTGAAAATTACCGTTGCCCTTATATAAGTTTTATTTAATTGCTTGCTTAGCTCAAATCCTTTTCTAAAATAAAATACCTTGCATGCAGAATATAGAAACATTCATTATTGACCATAGGAGTCTGGGAAGTGGGCGAGAAGATTTGGAGCATGGGCTTGTCAGAGTTACACTGCCTGGCCTGCTGCACCCTTGGTGGCTCTCCTGGGGTCCATCAGAAGATTTGAGCAGTTGTTACTCTTCCTTCACAGCAACTGCCAGCTGTTGTTGACAGCCACCACATAGGAGTCCGTCTGGAAAATTCTTGCACATCTGTTCCAAATCGTCCACTTAGCAACTCTTACCGAAATAGATTACCTTTAATTAACTTCACAATGAATGTTTACATCTCTTCAGGTGTGATTTTTGTATCAACAAATAGATTTTCATGTATTATTATTTTAAATTAAAATTTTAATTTGTATGTTAGATGCAAGAAAAAATCGCACCAAATTTCTCAGTGGTTGCAAGTCAACCTACAGAGTAAGAGTACCTTAACTCTCAGCTTTCTAAATTAAAGCCCTTAGAATCTCATGGCTGTTCATCATAAAATTGCATTTTTAAAATGGGATCACTTTTATTGAGTTTTACTAACAAATTCTTTGGTTTCCTTCCATCTTCTTAGCATACTTCATAGAATTATTTCAGAGTACACAGGTTTTTATGGTCTGTACTAGCAACATTATTTACTAGTGTAAATTGTAGCCTTGACTAGTACACTTGTAGACTTTTTTATTCAGATTAAATAGTAATACTTATCTGAATTCAGCAAACAAAACAGGACTAACATGTTTATGAGCATTCCATGAAGACAACAGCTTCTGAAGGTGAACAGTTCTGTAGCATCTCAGAGGAAACACTGAATGATGCTGAGTGTAGGTGCCACATCCCTAGAGGATGAGAGAGGGGAACAGCAAGAACATAGATCTATGACGAAATAAGAGACAGCAAGGCTCAGTATCCTGCAGTTCACAAGTCAGCACTTGACTTACCCCTTACTCATGTACTGTATGGAGCTGTGTAAAATACCCTCATCACGTTCTGGTCTTGTCACACATTGAATGAGACTAGACATAGGACCTGCCAGCTTCACACAGGGTAACTTCCCAAAAGAGAAACACTTTCTGTCTCCCCGGGGCTGGAGATTTTAAGCTCAGTGGTAGAGCACTTACTTAGCAAGTCAGAAGTCCTGGCTTCCAATTTCCAAGAGAAACCCTCAGAAGATTGAAAATCTGTAAGAAATCTGGACATATGTCTTAACAATATTGGTGTTATATAACTGTCTGTTTAATGTAATTAGGAATGAATATTAACTGATTGATGTATAGAATCATGAACAGGTGAATTCTCCACCCTACTTTTAGAGGAAACATTGGATGTTAATGTTAAGGACCAGGGTTGAGGTTGGAAGATGTAGTGCTTGCCTGGCATGAGCAAAGTTACAGATTCAGTACACAGAGAGGTTGGGGGCGACAGTATTTTGCAGCCATATCTAGAGAAGGACACAATTATTTTAATGAACATTTAGGGCACCATAATCACCTTTACTGTATGCACAGTAGAAAGGTGACTTTCTGAATGTTAGGTCCTGTGAGCAGATGGCGTAAAGAGTTCTCCATTGGGTAATTCTGAAGCAGAGCTCTGGAGGCACATTTCATTCAGTCTTACGTATCTGGCAGGAATGCTGTTACAGTCTTCAAATTTATTTTATTTTCTACTTGCTTTTGGCAATTACAGGGAACTCATACAAGTTTCAAGCAGGCAGCAGGATGAACGCAATGCTGTGGTTTAAACACTTGAGCGCGGCCTGCCAGAGCAACAAGCAACAGGTGAGCACTTCTCCTCCTCAGAGTCTGTACCTTTAAATTCAGTCATGTATGTAAGAAACAGGTTCAGACCGTGTTAGCCCAAGCTGGCCTGGAACTTACTAGTTAGCCCAGGCTGGCCTCAGACTTGTGATCCTCTTGCCTTAGCACTAATGTGGCTGAATAATGTTCTTAATGGTTTTTATTGTTCATAGCAGTCACCAAGACATAAAGACTACATTTTAGAAAGACATAAGTAAACAAAGCTATCTAATATAAACTAAAGAGAGACAGGTAGGTAAAGGCAGCATTTGTGACTGAGCCTTCCCAGAGACAGTAATGTTGACGTGAGTGGTGGAAGGAACAGGCTGCATAAGAACAGGGTGAGTGGAGGGACAATTTGGGGACAGACAGTATGCAGATAAAGCTAGAGGATGTAGATATTCTAGAATATCTGTGTCTGGAGCAGAGGCAGCTCAGAAGGTGGCACTTGCACAGAGCTCTGGTTTATCTTTGATAACAACTTGAATTGGGTTCCTGTGGTTGCAGAGGGACCATCTCAACTTTATTGTTTATTTTTATTTTACTGAAACCATGGTGATCTAATGGAAAGACTTGTCTCAAAGGAGCACCTGTCTATTGTGCTGTCTTCCCAGTGCCCTCTTGCAGAGTTGGCCTGGACCACAGATTAACAGACTGAAAACCCAACCACAGTTGTGGACACCACTCCAAGCTTTTCTGGTTACACATCTTTGGAAGTCATAAACTTAGCATTTACAGTATACCTTTGTATCATCAGTGCCTACCAGCAAATATTAATTGGAAATAACATTATGCACTACCATTTTAGAAGACTTAATATTGTTTTGACTTTTATCCTGTTATATCAGGTTATCTATCATGACTCTTGATAAATAAGGAAACAGGCTCAAAGACACTTTCCATTTCTACAGGTCAACAGGCACAGATACTGGGCCTTTAGTCCAGATGACATTTTCTTTTCCTTTGTGTCATTAGAGTGGGCTTTTTGGTCACAATTACTTCACTGATGTATGGAGGCAAGTTTAGTATAGCCTTTAACAACCTCCTTGTAGGGCTTAAAATGCAAAGGGCTTTGCCCATATGAAGTTAGTGTCTGGGACAAAATGAAGGAGACATACTTAATTTTGCCTAAAATAAATGAGCCTTTCAGAATCTCTTCCATGCTTCATTTTTTTAAATATAGTCAGGAGTATTAATTCATGTATAAGAACATCAGGTTCCAAAATTAATCTAGAAGTGTATGCATACCAATATAGTGAAAGGCTCAGATTTTTTACTGTATTAGTAAACCTTCCTAATATCATACAGATGTGCAAAATGATTTTGTTTCTGAGTGTTAGCAAATTTATAAATAGAACCTGTGAAGTCTGAAAATTATTTGAAGACCCTAACTCAAAGGCAAAATATCTTAAGACACATTTGGACGATTTATTCATGAGGCTCACTTTGTTAAAATAAAAATTTCTTACCACCAGACCTGGGAGCTTAAACACATGAGCATTTGAGTTATAATTCAATTATGATATTGTCTAGTAGAATTCTTCATGCAAAAGCTAGCATGTCGGGCTGGAGGTTGCCCAGTGTCTATGAATGCTTGCTGCTCTTGTAGAGGACCAGAGTTCAAGTCACATCACCCATATCTAGTGACCCAACTACCTATGACTCCAGCTCCAGAGGGTAACAGGTTTCAGAGAAAGTCTGCTGGCCTGTGAGAGCCACTGAGCCACTTTAAGGGTAAGGAGGGGACCTCCGACCTACCAGCTCTGCCAGCACTTAGGAAGCCTGTGCTAAACTTCATGAAACTCTCAGTACCCCTTAGAGAGTCCTTGAGTTTTAGAGACTGGAATTATGCCCTATGATAAGACACTTTACATGATAAGACATTATGCCCCATGATAAGACAGCATGTTCAGGCCTCTGAGTTTCATCCCCAACACGATAATTTTTTTAATTCAGACATACAAGAAATCAAATTAAATATAATCTGTTTATTTTTAAGTCAGAAAGTCTCAGATCATTTTGCCCAATAGATTTGACTAATATTTTTGAGGTTTTCATAGAAAAGTCCTTCATGATTGCTATAAAACTGTCAGTGTAGTTTGTTTTTAATGTACACAGAGAAATTGATGGTAATGTATAGAGTTCTGTTGTACAAGGTTTGCCATATTTCTTTGATTCATTTATTTTTTTTGGTAAACAGCCATTAGGCCCCTGTAAGGCACAAAAATTCTGTGTCCTTCCTCCTGTCCAGGCACATCAACTTGGAAAGCGTATTAACCATGATTTTTTAATGATAAGGCATGCTAGACTCACTGTTATAAACCACACAAAACATCTTCTATCATATTACCTTTAAAGGATATTTAAACTGTGTGGTGGCTCATGCTTACATGCCCAGCACACACAAGTTCAAGGCTGGCCTGAGCTAAAAATTGAGACTGTCTCAAAAAAGATACGTGGGTCAGAGTGATTAGCTTGGCTAAATGACAAGATAAAATAATTGCTGACATTGGTTTATTATATTTTATATAAGTTTTAAACACATTATTTAACAGGAAACACTATATCTTATGTATAAATTTATGTATTACATATAATACAATTTATGTGTTAAATTTGAAGTTACAGAACCCTCACCCTAGAGTGAATCTGAGGGGTGAGTCACTTTAAGACATTGTGGCAGATGTATCCAGTGACTAGAGATGTATCCAGTGACTAGAGACTAGTGACTAGTAGAAACAGCTAAGCGGTCAATCTGGAGTGGTAGCAGTCAGTGTGGGCTGCTTGTATTTTTTAGGTTCCTACAAACTTGATGACTTTTGAGTAAAAGTCTGAGACAGAAGAGGAGCGCTATTGTCCCCATGTGGAGCCGGGACCTGCTGAGAGCCCCAGCCGCACCATCCTGTGCCAGGAAGAGCCCCCAGGCTCCAGCCCAGCCTCCGGAGCTCAGAACCAAAAGCACTAATTTCAGGGAATGAAGTGAGATGTTCCCAGAGAAAAACAATGGAGTTGCAAAACAAACTGCCATGAACTACGCTTCTTTTCTCCGAACTGACCTGTGGAAACCACTGCCTTAACAGAGTGCGAGGAGAACCGACACCAAATAGTGTGTGTGCGTCTTCTGGCGGTGCTGTGCTTGGAATAAATTGTAGCTAATTTGCATTTCTTTTAACTTTGTACTAATTTTGGAGAGGAAACCATCTTTTTTAGATACACTTTAAAATGGCAAAACCTTTCTTATGGATTCCATCAGGAGCTGTTTTAGGTGCAGTGAGAAGTCCCCGTGAAGAACAGGCCAACAGCCCAGCTGCAGGGTCTGCTGAGTCTCTGCCAGTGGCACCTCACATCCCACAGCAAGACCTGGGAGGGATGTGGTGTGGGAGCTGTGGCTGCTGTTTGGGGGTAGGGCATGCTTTACTTTGGATGAGGGATCCAGTTAAACACTACCATTTGGAATTCAGTGCTAGAAGGAGAACAAGATTTCCTGCAGGAGGTACAAAGGTTGAGTGTTCACGTGCCAGCAAACTCCAGAACACATGGTAGTTTCTAACCCGGGTTAATGTTTAACTTTCTGTATGAATTCATTGTTGGGCCCAAATCCACATAGGAGCACGGTGATCCCACGCTCGGGTTTCTGTAGCCTTTTATCGAGTCGAGTGGATTCTCCAGCCACAGGTATCATCGTCGTGGGGAGACCCCGGTGTTTCCGGGGTGTTGCCCTTTGCAGTGTTTAATGTGCAGTATGCCAGACTTATTTTTTATTGAATTTGTTTTTGTTCAGTATGAAGTTCAAAAGCATACTTGTTTAAAATATTCTTCATGTATATGTATGTATTTTATTGTAAGACAAAACAATTTTAAGAAGAATAAAGGCAAAGTTTGCAGTTCTAGGAATTAAAAATATAAAACCTTTTCTTGTATGACTTCACAAAATGTACCAGAACATTTTTTCAGAAAGTTCTTGTTGGTCCCCAATCTGAAAAACATGTTTTGTCAGTAACTGACCAAGCAGTTGGAGAGAGCTCTCCTAGGCAATAACACATTTAATTTTTAAAACGAATGTTGGACTTGACATAGCTTAGAATTTTAACCAAAATTAGCTCTTGACTGCTGGGGGGTCACCCTTTCTAACTCCCCCTTGTGTGGAAAGGCCTTGACTGACAGCCACCTCCTAGCAAACTGCTCACTTTTTTGGGTCTTTGTGTAAAATGTCTCACATCTATGTACTTCAAGAATTGTGTACTTTATCAGAAGTATTTTATCACCATGCTTAACTAGAAAATACTGTCTATACAATAATTAGCTAAAAAAAGAAAGAAAAAGTGAAGAGCCTTTTCTGAGTGTTTCTAGTTTGAATAATTCAAATATGTTTGTCACGTTACAAATAACTTATTTGGGGTTTCATTGACAAGCAAGGGAAGGCAAATATTGCCTGTATGGAATGATTTTTCAGATAATAGTCTAAGTTAACCCGTGTTGGGTATCCACAGACAGATCCTGAGTGGCAGGCAGGGCTACAGTGCAGGCCCTCCCTCCCCATTCGTCTTTCTATTGTCCTTTTTTTTTTTTTTTGCAATTCCTTAGTTAATTTGCTCCAGAATAATGTTTTAAATAGTATGCATTTTTGAGGTACTGTGGATGAGAACCCTGTGGCTGTTGTATTAGTACTTTTTTGTCAGGAATAAGCTAAAGCCGTTACAGTGTAGGTGAGTCACGTCTGTGGAGATAGGCAACTTGCAGAAGCCAGCCTCACAGTTTTGCCAAAGAGAAAGGGCTGGGATGGGAGTTGTTCCGTACACACAGATCTGGACACTTAAAGATGTGTAGAGGAAGAACCGTATTCAGATTGATGATTAGCCAGGTTGGATTAGCATCATGGCCCCTGGCTGGAACCAAAACTATTTTCCTACCTTCATATTGCTCTAAAGATCAATCATTGCTTTTTAGGATGATTTTAGAAACCATGAGAGATGGTTTAGAGTAGGTGAGGTTTTCTTATCTGTAATTCACCAAGTGGTATCAGGTTATAATTGAAGCAAAGAAAACATTGCCTAACTATATTAAATATTTGAGTATTTTACTTATAGGAGAGTGAATCCTATTTCGATTACCCTGAGTTGTAAATTAGTGACTCACCAGCTCATTTCCCACCAACATTAAAGCTTGTTTGTTTCTCTCATAGCCAAGGAGAACTCTTTCAGAAATTCAATTAAAATGTAAACTTTATAAGCAGACTGAATGGAATATTGTATGGCCTGGTGCGATAGTGTGTAGTGCTAGCCATATCTCATCCAACAACTTAATTCGAACAGAGAGGCTTATTTTTCAGAAGTCTGTTTTCAAAGTATACCTGTGACAATGGCTGCATAATGTCCAAACCCTGTTTGGAGCTTCATGTGCTTGCTTTTTTTCAGAATAGTTCAATATGTTGTCTAAACTGTAAGGATCAGAAGAGAGTTGATGGAGTACATCTTTCTGTTTGATTTCATTCAGTTGTGAATTTGTGTAAACAGTTCAACAAGGCATATATTTCAGTGGCAATAGTTTTTTCTGTGTCAACAGTACCATCCGCCATTGTGCAGTCTCTTGCTCTCGAAGTTGAGTCAGTTACAGTGTTCATAACTGCAGAGTTTTTTTTCCTCTTGGAGATGTATAAGAAGCCCAACAAGCAACATTGTTAACTAGGAGGAATGAGCCATGCTTAGCCCCTCCATAGTTGGAGCATGGATGAACACAGCCTCATCAGTCTCTGGGGTTGCTTTTACCTATCCAGATGACCTCAGCATAAAGGCTTTCTTCCTGAGGTTAAATCTGTAAATTACGTGCATTTAAAACTGAGGCAGTATATTGATTGGAAATCAGTACCAATAGACGGAACTCATTGGCTTTTTAAAAGAACATACCTTTGCTGTTGATTGAGGCACATTCCTTTCTAGCTGGGTCTTAAGCCATCCTATTACCTTCTGCAAACGAGAGTTACTGGTACTGCTTAGTGGAAGATTGGCTTTAATCAGAAGAAATCTTCTGCCCCCGATGCTTTTAAAAGACTTGGATCCTCTTGAAATCGATGCTGAACTGCACTGTGCTGGACAACAGTAGTGGGTACCACTGCTGGCTCACAGGGTGACAGCCAGTGTGGTTGGGGTATGCCTGACTTGAGCCTCCTTTTAGGGCTTGCATTCATTTTCTTTTAAATCATTTCTTAGAAACGTAGTACCATCCTGGTTTTATAGTCAGGTGGGTGTTGCTCTTTCAAGCCTCTGAGGTACAAGACTTGCTATTAGATAGTATTGATGATAAATTGCGTGTGAACCTTTTCAAGATGATTTAAGTACCTTTCAGATTTGCTTCCCTAAAAATGGCTTGTGTCTAAATGACTTTTCAATTTTCAAGTCTACTCAAGGGATGTATGCACACCACCTCTTCAGCCCAATGAAAGCAATTACGTTTTACCTATCTCCAGCCATAGTGTGGGGAAAATGGGGTCAGTGTCTTAGCAATTTGAAGGCCAGTTTTAGCACATTGAGGATGGCTAAGATCACCTGCCCTCTTTACCCTCTGACTTGAGGAGCGTGCTGCCCCTCTCTCCACCCGCTAAATCTAACAGTTGTAAGAAGACTGAAGACATCTGGATTCTTGCAGTCCTCCAATCTTAGAGATCTTAATTATTTTTCAAGTTCTTAGGTGAGAAGTAGATCCACTCAGATCAACCTTTTGATGAACACTCTTAATGTTGGCTTTGAAGAACCTCCATCTAGCTGAGTATATCTTTGTTTTGTGTTGCTTGGAACTTAGGTTTAGTGATTTTAAGACCTGTTGGGAAAATCATAAAGGAATAAGAAGGTGTTGTTTAGTGCTTCACTAAAGCACTGGGATGCCAGTCTGTTGAGCCAGAAATGAAACATTTCAGTTTCCTACTTAAGACAGAATGAATAAGCAGTCCCTTCTCCTGCTTGTTACTGCTTACTTGAAAAATCTGCAGGAAAGGAGCAGCACTAATAATAAATCAGGGGGCAGACTCAGCCAGGGCAGAGTTTGGAAACATCTTACTTAAGACATTGGGAGTCTGGGAGATACCGTCGTCTGAGTAGGAACGCTGTTTTCAGGGTCCTTGGAGAATAGGCATGCATACACAAGGTCTCTGGACACAAGGAAAGGGCTAGCTGTTCCTCAGAGGTTATTAGCAAAACTTAAAATCTGATTTCAGCCAGTTGCTCTGCAAAATAGAGTTAAAGGAATCTGTGGAGTGCTTGAGAATAGGAAGACAAAAAAATGCCAAATATTAGCAGAATGTTTCAAATTTATATGCCAAGTAAAAAATGTCATGTCCCTGAACATGTCACCTGAAAGAACTGTTCACAATAGGATTCCAAGAAGTTCTAATTTAATGGGTGTGACTAAGGTAACTGATGGGTCATGGAAGTCTCAAATGTTTCTGTACCTTGGCTGTTGATGCTTGTTCTTTTGACAGCCTACTGAAGGACCTGGGAGAAGGAACTCAAACATCTGTAGGGATAATTACCCAAAGCTAATAAAAAAAACAAAACCCACAAGCCATTTTCGTTCTCTGTTCCAGCTAACTTGAGGTACTTAATGATGAAGCATTGGCTTGCACTATGACCTCCTTGAGTGATGTGCGACTTGGTTCCTCTCTGGTTTGTTTCTTTTTAATATGCAGAAGTGAGTGTGTGATCTTCAGTGTGTTTGCATAAGCTAACTTAAAATGAATTTAAGAACAGTTTTCTGAAATATTTCTATTGAAATAAATGACTTAAAAGTATAGATTGTGTGATTTTTTGTTGTTGTTGTTACCGTATTTGTACTTAAAATGCAATCAGCTCTGTGGGTTTGGTTTGGATTTTTAGCCTTTCAAGAGACATTAATAAGGACAGTTGCTGCAGAGCTTTCTGCCCAGAATGAGATTGTGCTCTGGCTTGCAGTGTCGACAGGGATTTTCTCCTCTCCCTGCTGAACGTGAGCAGTGCCTCCGAAGGCCTCATTGCCGAAACTCTTAAGTTCTAAGGCACAACTTTCTGCCTCCAGTACTAAAGAAGCTTGAACATTATGTATGCTTGGCAGACATTCTGCCGTTGAGGTATACTCCCTGACTCTAAGACAGAATCTCAGTTGCCTGGGCTGACTTTTTAAGTAAGCCTTGAATTTGAGATCCTCCTGTCTGACCCTGCCAAGTAGCTGGGATTTCAGGACCACACCACCATGGCCAGGCAAGACTGTGTGTGTGTGTGTGTGTGTGTGTGACAGACTCCATTGCCCCACCTGTGGAGCTTTCAGGTGATATAGATGATATAGGTAGATAGAGATACATACACATACACACACATACATACACACACATACACACACACACATACATATACATACATACACACACACATACATACACACACACATACACACATACACACATACATATACATACATACATACATACATACATACATACATACATTTGTATAGGTATCTAAATGCCCTATATAACCGTGACTTTGTTTCCAATAATTTTCTCCCCTCTTTAGTGACCTTTGAAAACTCAGGCTTTTTTACAGGAACCAAAAGAGTATGATAGCTCTCTAGGGGGGTCAACCTGTCTTGCTACGTTGATCATGCACCAGTTTTCCTTACATGCATAAGTGGGTCTTTAGATTCAGTTTACTATGTAATTTGCTTGTCACTAAGCCAATACCACATTGCCTTAAGTACTGTATGACTTTTTTTTTCTTCAAAATCACCGTAACTGTTCGAGTCCTGTCTCCACAATCAGCTTGTCTAGTGTAATGAAATCACTGCTGTCACTGTGATTGTAACTGCTTTGGACTATAGAGTAGTTTGAGAATTAGCAGGTTTTTAAAGTTTATCTGTTCATCTAAGAAATGAAATGTCTGTTTGTTTACTGCCCCTCCAATATTATTTCAGTTTTCTTATTAGTGGTCTTGTATATCTTTTATTACCTTAAATATAGGTAAATTTGTTTTTACTTTGACTATTTCATTTTCTCTTACTTTCTGAGAATGCTGTCATTAGTTGCTTATGTCCAGCAACTTTTGTGAAAGTCAATTTTAATAGTTTGTCCATAGATTTTTGTTGGAATCTTAACTACAGAACAGTTGTCTCATACTTCCTCTCTTTAGCTGTGTGTGTGCCTATCTGTGTGTGTGTGTGTGTGTGTGTGTGTGTGTGTGTCTGTCTGTCTGTCTGTCTGACTGACTTGCCACACATTTGGCTTGGACTAGAGTACAGTGCTGGGTCAGATGCAGTGATGACATTTCAAGAGTATAATTACCCAGTCCTCTATGAACCTCAGAGAGTGGCTGAGACAGAGACAGGGAGGTGGATATACTCAGGCACATTTTTCTAATGTGTTGCTGTTTACTCTGAGCTTCCATCGGTCACTCAGTACTATGCAGAATGCTGGGTCACAGGACATTACAGAGTGTGGAGTCAACACGCAGCTTACACCACTGTTTCTGAGTTGGAAGCAGTTTTGTCCCCCAAGAGATACTTGCCAGAAGAAACTTGTCACAGCTGGGAAAGGGCTCTTTGGACATCAAGCAAGTAGAGAGGCAAGGGCTGCTGTAAACACTGCAGATGATCATCAGATGTCAGTGACGCCCAGACTCAGAACTCCTGGTCTGTGTGGTGTTAGATCTCATAAATTCAGTATGTTGACCTTGCTTGTGGGGAAAGTTGAGCTTGTGTCCACTTAACTTTCCCTTCTTAGAAGTTCAGCCTACTGTACCCAGAACGCAGTAACCTGCATTAACACCACAAGAACGTATTCGTAGCCCGAGCCATAATGTGTGAAGATATTTGGTGCGTGCCAGCAAGCAAAGAGCTGGAGCAACGGTGTAGTCAAGATGTTCATTCTGTTCAACAGCAGCAACAAAAACACATGAGCCAAAAGCTAAATACATCAACCTAAAGGGAACTGAATGAGAGCCTTCTAAATGAGCATGTCGGTGAACACACCTTCCTCTCTGGTCCTTGTAAGTCTAGAAGGACGGTCCTGCTTGCAATGTGTCAGGCCAGCTTGTCTGTTAAACTAACCTTTCAGTTAAATCAGAGGCTCTTTTTCTTTCTGATGTTGTGCAAGTGTTATAAAAACATATTCTTCTTGAAAAAAACCCAAGCAATACAAAAAGGCATAGGGTGGAAGTTGCCTGTCCCACCTGCCAGACTCCTTCTCCATAGTTAATAAAACCATTATCCTTGAGTCAGTTCCTAGAATCATTTATTTCTGACTCAAGCTCTGGGGACATTTTCTACCTTCTCCAACAGATGTCTAACTTTGGACCCTCGAGTACATTCGGCACACTGAAGCGTGCACACAATACTGCCGTCTCAAAGTCGAAAAGTGATGCAGATTTGCTGCTTTGTTTTAATCTCGGGATCAGAAGCAGCATCCTAAAGTGCCAGGAGAGGGCTTTCTTGCATGAAACAGGTTACATAAAGACTCTGAACGCTGACTAAACGAGCTGGCACTTTCCTATAAGAGATAAGTACCTCCAGATGTTGGACTCCTCAGCCCACGCATCTAGTAGATGAGACATGAAATTGTCTGTACTGACCATTTGGGGCCTGTAAGATGGTGTTTTCATGTGCCTTTTCCTGGTACTTTTCTTAAAAGCAAGTCAAACATCACTAATTATTTCAGGTCTTTAAAAAGCAATCAGTACTGGGAAAGGTTGGTCACATAAACCTAAGTCCACTGGGTATGAGAAAAGTAAAAGTTTTTCTGGTGGTAATGAAAGTTTTTAATATGCTGACATTATTAGAAACTAAAAGTAGCTATGCATGGTGGTGCACGCCTTTAATCCCAGTACTCTTTAATCCTGGAGGCAGGCGGATCTGTGTGAGTTCCAGGCCAGCCTGGTCTACAAAACAAGTCCAAGACAGCCAGGACTATACAGAAAAACCTGTCAAGAGAGGTTAGGGAGAAGGAGGGAGGGAAGGAGGGGGGGAGAAATTAAAAGTGGTTCATCCTTTAAAGATTTATTTCTTTTCATTCCTATGTATGCATGAGCCTGGATGAGTGTATGTGCATCACCTGAGTAGTGTCCACAAAGGTAACAAGAGGGTATCACAACCCCTGAAGCTGGAGTTACAGATGGTTGTGAGCCACTGTGTGCTGAGAGCCAAAACTGGGTTGCCTGCAAGAGCAGCAAGTGCTCTTACCCACTAAGCCATCGCTGCAGACACACACACACACACACACACACACACACACACACACACACACACAC